TAATGGGAAATGATAAACAGTATATTATTTGCCTAGACAAAGAGCAGTGTCCCATATAAATTTCCTCAAAAACATTAAATGACCTGTGAACTTTCTGACCAGTTCACAAAATCACCAACTGACACTTCAGCATGAAGAGAAAACAAACCTAACAGGCCATCAGCGCTAAAGACATTAAGGAGCAGAAACTTCCAAAAAGCTTTATACAAGTGGTTTTTCTGGGCAAATGGAAAATAAAGCTCAGAGAATACATTAAAAAAATTCACAAAGTAAGTTTATGTTTTGACGCACTTACTGATAACATCTTTACAAAGGAAACTACCCCAAAGGAAAGGAACAGCAGAGCCTCCACAGGACAGCCCACGAATGTGACAGGCAACAATGACTTTCATATTGTAACAAAGTCCCTCCTGCCCAAATCTGAGATAATGAGCAGGTGGACCCCTGCCTCTGCCCACAGGAACACACGTGTGACTGGGACTGTTTAATAATTATGCATACTGTCCTCACCTCACCCTGCCTCTCAATTCTTCCTCTACTTAAACCTAAGGCACCTGTCTCTACAGGGAAGATGAGCTGCAGTGCTTACTTTGCCTCCTCCAATGGCGCACATGCACCACATTAATAAATGTCCTTTCTCTGACTTTCACTATTACCTGTCTCTTTATTTGCCATGGTGGGAGGAGGTGGACAAGTGGCCAGACATGAAATGTGGAACCTCTGAAGCTGGGCCTTTGGCCTATAACTCTGGTATTGAGCCATATCAGATAAAAGAAAAGTCAGGATATTGTTAAGCCCTGAATAACTGGATGGGCATCTTTGGGTACAACATTTTTGTAGATTTGTTAACTACTAGTTCTGGAAAGAGACTGGATTAAACTAAATTTCAGTACGAATTTGATTAGGTGAATTTTATAAAGTGGAGATAAACAACTTGGAGTTCCCATTAAATTCAGAACACATAATTCTTGAGTAGATAACAATGTATTTAATTAGTGAATACTGCATTAGGAATATTATATTCATAGGATAATCCATCCTTCCTTCCTTCCTTCCCTTCTTTCCTTCCTTCTACAAATAATTATTGAGCACACTATCAATGCCCTCTAGCCAACGATCACCAGGAACACACCTGTAGTTGAACTCATTGGCATTATTACTTAACGCAGTGTTGAAGAACACATACCATGGGTGTCTCAATAAGATGGTACATATTACCTCCCTCTATTGAGTTCTATGTTGTGTTGCAATGCAGAGCAAACAGGTTTGCTGCAACTTGGAAACCTTTGAGAAAAACAGAACACTGATATGGTCAGACTGGGTAGAGTACAGACAGCTGAGCAAATGTTAAGAGAAATCTATGAATAATAATAACATTAACATTTTGTACAAGTAGAGTGAGTACATAACCTTAACTGGGAATGTTGGCAGGTTGAGAGTATAGACTCAGACTGGATAAGGCCACGGAGAATTCACAACCTTTTTTCTAATTAAACATCATGTAGTATAGCAGGCTGACCAAATAAATCTGACTCTCCCACAGCATATTCTGACCCTGCTGTAGAGACTTGGAGTTTCCCCAACAAGTCAAGGTCCTATAAATATTCTCACAACATGTCAGTCACTTGTTGCTGGCTACTGGCAAAAGCTCTAGCAATGCTAAACCCTTTCAAATTAAGTGAATGAAACTAATTTCCATCCCTTACAAGCAATCAATAATAGCAATACTTTTAAACACTCCATTATATAGAAAATGTTTTTCCCTAAATATGTCTTTTGAAGCTAATAGCAGACAAGTAAGGTGTATCTATCAATCAACAATTATTATCTATTGCTGATCAGTGGTAAGTCTGGTGCCATATATCTATGAACAGAATCATAACATTGTCTCTGGACCTGGAAAGTTTAAATGTATTTAAAAAGCAAGATTGAAAATGTTCAACAGATACTTAAGAGAAATGAAGATTAATGAGAACAGGTCTGGTTGGAAAAGGCTCAGCCAAAAAGAAATGCAAGTGAAATTGGGAAGGATGCCAGGGTTGTGGCAAAGAAGAAGCAAGGGCAGTTGGAAGAGGATAGAGGACCCCGTGGAAGCAAGACTGTGTTCATGTGGAAATATGTAAAGCAGTTAAGAAAAAGTGGAAATTGGCCAATACAGTACCTAGCATAGGGCCCTATCTAAAAGAAGCACTCAATAAAAACAAAAATGAAAACAGAAGTTGGGCCTTAATTAAGCATTGAATCTTCCCCAATCTTATTAATCAGATAATTTTTTGTTTTGTGTGTGAAAGGCTGAAGTTCTTCCCAAAAAAAAGGTAACCACAGGTTCATATTTTGTGAATAGAGGAAATTCTAATATTTTTTCATTCAATGAAAATAGAGGACATTGAAAACTTTTAAATAGGAATATGGAAGAATTGTTAAGGGAGAATAATACAGTTATGACATGTGGTTTAGGTTAGCTGAGAAAATGATGTCAGTGAGTTGTCTATTAGGATCCAGGTAAGGTAAATTCAGGGTCATTAAGGAACTTTCTGGTGAGAAAGAGAAAAAAGGGTAAATAATACATAGTGTATTTAAAAAATTACATGGCTCAAGCTTGATGATCGATAAAATTAAAAAGGAAGGAAAATAAACCAGGTTTTACTATATGATTTAAAGTCAGAGGAAGTGTAAGGAAACATTCTTAGTTACAAAAATGGAGATAAGAACCAAGGAAGTTTCAATAGAAAAGAGAACTTGTTTGTAAGATATTATTTTTCCTTCATCCCCTCTGATATGAATGAAGAACAGCACTTAAATTTTTTTACCTTCTTTCTATGACTCTCTAGCAAAGGAAAGGGAAGACAACTGCCCAGAAGTGTCAAGACATAGAGCCAGGGAAGGCTTTTTCCAACCCTGAAGTTGGCCTGGCTAGCTTCCAGGCTTCTGAGCTGATTCAGGGTGGGTGCTGAGGAAAGCAGAATATCACAATTTGACAGAAAAGGGGGGAAGGGAGCAGGAACACCAGGCCCCTGCCCTGCATTTAGAGGGAATATGTCTGAATTGGCTCTTATTACATAAGCTATTTTTGTTTCTACAAAGCCATCACTATTACCTCTATCTCTAACACACAACCTAACCTACTAAATCTGATCAAGGAAGAAGAAAACATTCCAATAATTCATAAGAGGAGAGGTGTGAGGGGAAGTGTTTGAAAAGGTTTTGCAAAAGCTCTTGGCACAGTTTCTAAATGGTTATTAGATCTGGAAGCCCTAGTAAAATTTAATGCTAGAGTTGTGATAATCTACACTTAGCGCGACTTACTTCTTTCTGTTTTGTCAGGGAAAAGACTGGTGGTTCTTTGCATTCTGTTTTCCGTAAACCACCGTACTGTTTTATCTATTCTTTTTCAAATACCTAAGATATTTTTCAGTCTAAGTTAAATAAAATACTGAAAAAATTCAGTCACCCTGTTGCACTTTTCTCAGTGCTTACATCTTTAAGTACAATTATTTTACAAATGAAGCAAATAGGAAAAGATGCTTAACACATTACAAGTTCTTAACCTTGTATCTGTTCTTAGATTTTTTTTTAGCTCAAAAATTTTATTTTAGGTCAAATTTATTTTAGCTCAAAAAATATTTTAGTCCTGTACTCCTGTGGATGCATAACCTTGAGTTATAATCTAGCCCAGGTGTTACATTCTCCTGACTTTCACAGCCCACCTGCTTGCCCTATGATGGACTACGTTTCCCAAGCGCATACGTCCAGTGACTCTCAAGAAGTGCATTGTGGGAGTTGTAGTCTTGGGTGAGTCTCTTTACTCCTAGCCCTTGACTCGCTCTCAGATTCAGGCGCTACCAATTAGCAGGGGCCATGTCTGTGAGGCCGTGGCTCAATCAGAAAACAGGATGTCGGAATCCTGCACATTGATTGGCCAATGAATGACCTTGGGGCGGAGCAATAAGATGGGCGGGGAGACCACAGCGATTGGCAAGCAACTTCGGCGACGGGCAGGGATTGGCTGCGCGCTGGGTCAGAGAAACCTGGGAAGGGGCGGAGGCAGGAAACTAGAGCAGGAAGAGTGGCGGCGAGGCGGCGGTGGCGGCTGAGTCGGTGGTGGCGGCTGAGTCGGTGGTGGCAGAGACGAAGGCGATAGATCCCGGGGGTGGCAGCGGCTGCGAGAGCAGGATGCTGGTCCGGGTCGGGCTGACGCTGCTGCTCTGTGCGGTGCTACTAGCCTCGGCCTCGGCGTCCTCGGGTAAGCATCCACACCCTCGGGCTGAAGGCCCTGAGCCGCCGCCCCCCGGCTTCCATCCGTGGACAGGGCCGTAGGTGCTCGGGTTCCGGGACTCTGCTCTGTCCGGTCACACCTCGCCGTGTCCTGTCACTTGCTCTTCCCTTGGGCTTCGGTTGGCCTGGGCCAAAAGAAGTGTTAGGGACCTGGAGGTGGAGAGGTAAAGAAGGAGCGGTCACCCTGTCCACACTCCTCTCCCGCGTAACAAACTTGGCGCGACTTGTCACGAAATGAGGAATTGACTCTGGGAATGAATCCTGACCGCCGGCTTAGACCCACAGTGACATCCGACCAGGGCTCCCTGGACCCTCGCGTGGATGTGTGCTGCCTGGGGTCTGGAACTCTGGGTTTGGCGTTTGCAGTTGACACACAGGAGCTGTCACTTTGGGCACAGTAGGGTTCTTCAAGACTTCGAATGTAGACACTGATTTGCTGGGTTTGCTTAACACCTGGCCTATTATCTTTCTTAAAAACGCAGACCTCTGGTGCAATTGTAGCCACTTTTTATCCCCGCCCTCTTTTAAAAATCTTCCTGAGAAAGTGGGACCTCTGTCACAGTGTTTCCGAGTTGGCCCCGTGTTTGTTGATAGTGACTTTATGATTTTTGAGGAAGAGTTGATACTTATAAAATGAAAAGCCAATAGTTGCACCTTTTTATAGAGGTAGAGAAGTTCATATACTTTTGATATGATTTTCAAATTAACTGCCTTATACTAGTTCTGAAATGATTTTTGTTTTCTTTTTTAGTGTTTTGATCTGCCTACATCAGAAAACTTACGTTTTGGGAGTGTTGATTTAAAAAATACTTAGTATTAGTAAGTGTTGATAAAGAAATATTTAGTACAGTGAAGCTTTGGAATAATAGTTTCAGTTGACAAGACAGCTGTTCTGTGGCTTTAAAATTTTTTTGGAACAGGCAGAATATAAATGTCAACTCTTTTTCAACAGAAAATTTTCCAGATGGTTATTTGAATCCCCAAATTATCTGTCCTAGTTGTAAACCAAACCATAACGTCATCCTGCTTCTAAAATAAGAGGCCTAACCAAAATTCTGTTTGTGAGTGGTTTGAGACACCATTTCAGAAGCAGCAGACATATGCTAATTACTGCCAACATAATGCTTGAGCTCTGTTCACCTCTAGTTATAGTGATGGCTAAAGATGATACAGCACATAGTCTTAAAGCAACTCTAGCCATTATTTTATCAAAAGAAGTATGAAATGAACCTGTTGAGGTTAATGGATAGAGTACCTGTTGGATCACCTGCAGTGGAATTCCTCTTTGGGGTTTGTTAAACATTCATTGTAGGTCTAGAATACGTCAGGTATCTGTACATAAACAAGCTCTGTGATTCTTCATGCTAAAGTTCAAGAATGATAGTAATTAAAGAACATGACATAGATCCCTCTGAATGCAATTTTCAGAGTTAAAATTAAATCATACAAATTTTGCTACATCTTATTTCATATATTTAGAGCTCTGTGTCAGTGAAGAGGATACTTGAAGATCAACAATTGGCTACACTAAAAGACTGAAGTATTACACATGAATTGTATTGATGTAAGCAGAGAACTGAGTTTAAGAAATGTCTGCTCTGATTCCATCATAATGAAAGCGGTGCTGAGACATTTCTCTGGTACAGACAAAGTATTAGAACTAAAACGATTTGCATTTGTATACTGAACATGGACAGACATTTTATTCTTTTTGTTATTTCCTAAACAGTACAATATAACAACTACTTACATAGCATTACATCCTATTAGGTATTATAAGTAAAAAAAAGGGTGTAGATTATATACAAGTACTATGCCTATTTTATATGAAGAACTTTAGCATCATTGGCTTTTGGTGTTCTAGGGTGGGGAGCTTGAGGATCCTGGAAACAGGCTGCCACATACATAGAGAGACAACTGTGCTATGCTCATATGAAGTTCAAATAACAATTCGTGTGATACACAAAGTTTTATAAATTAAAGGCTTGGATTTTTCAATTGATTTTTCCATTCATTAGCGTACTAGTTTATATGGAGTTCAGCCTCATTTTAAAAATTTATATATTTTGAAAAGTTAATTTTTTTACATTTTCATTAGCATGTATTTGTGACATTACATATGTGCTCACAATGTATCTTTTTTTAACTGAACACATATAGATTTTATTCTTGACTATTCCGTAAATAATACAGTGTAAAAACTAGTTATATAACATTTACATTGTGTGAGATATTATAAGTAATATAGAAGTAATTTAAAGAAAATAGAATGTATATAGGTTATATGCAAATACTATGCTATTTTATATATGAGAGTTAAGTATCCCCAAATTACAGTGTATCTTAATTACATTCACACAGCCCTTCCCACCTTCATTCTCCCATATCCCACACCCCCGTAAAACAATTTCAACAGGTTTCATTGGTTTTATAAAATTTAGATTTAAAGTTGTCTCCTGTATAAAAATCAGGTTGTGGGTTTGTAATTTTGTGTTTACATGTTAAAGGTACCCAGGGCAGGTTGCATTTATAACCAGGTAGAATAAAGAGGATCCTGATCCTCTTACTGTTAGTAACTATCATCTAATACCCTGTTTTAAAGATATGTAAAAATATGATACTTATATTAGAAATGTTTTTCTTTTGAGCAAGAAGATTTAAAGGAGATTGAAAGGAGGTTTCTCCTTTATTTTCTTAAGCTAACTACGAAAAGGCAATCATTTTTCTCACTTACAAATACAGCTTTCTTTGAGCTGGGGATATAGCTTAGTCGTAAGTAGAGCTCATGCTTGGCATGTGAAAGGCCCTGGCTTCAACCACACAATCAGGGGTGTGGCGGGGGGGAACGAGAGAACTTCCTTATTTTTGGCAGAAAGAAATAAATGGTTTACCTTGTTTTTTTCTTTATGCCAAACAATTTTTTTAGTCTTTTTAATTAGATCCACTGCCAGGTATTTCAGGTAATAGTTAAATTCAGAGAGTAATTTTTAGAGTGCAGAATGGTTAATTTTACTGTTTTATGTGTTCCTTACAACATCATTGTGAATCAGCAGGAATGTAGTGGTATTCCCTTTTGACAGATTGTGAAAATGGAGTCTGAGCAAGCTTTTGATATTGAACCATGTGTGTCCAAATTAATATGCGATGAAACCAGGTCTCAAACTTAGTTCTCCAAGCCTCAGATTTGGGCTGATTTAGAATCAGAAATTTCCTACACAAATTTTCTCTACACAGATCCTGAGCACAGTGGCAAAGCAGAAAGCAGGCTAGCTGATCTTTTTTCACCAAACTCTTAGGCTTTCTGTGTTTGAAGGTATATCAATCTGTTTACATAACAGGTGGTAAAATTAATTTGTCATTATTACTTTTCCTTGAGAAAATATCCCTTGTATTTCTGTTAGCTGATATAATAAAAATGATATTATGAATCTTTGTCAAAGGAAGTTGTACAGCTAATAAAGTAACTTGAACAGTCACATATTGGATGTGATAGTGATGAGTGAGAAATCCGAATTCCTTATTGAATCCTCTGCATTTTTTTGTTGTTGGATGTCTGCTCTGATAAAAGCATTACTGTTTACTTTTATTTATGTATGACTTCAGTGTCTTTACTTCTGAATATTACATATCAGAAGTGCTTAGGTTTATCAGCAACTTTGTAAAAAAGTCTTATGTGAATATCAGTTTAAAAGAGAAAATAGTTTAACACTACCATCTGGAGTAGGCTTTCTCAGTTTAGTAACAGAAGGAATTCTTTTGTTTACCAGTAGTCTTAATATATATTCCTATTTTGTGAAGAGAGAAGCAGGGAAAGATGAAGAAGCATGATGCAATTCACATGAAATAACCCTGATGTCACAAGTCATTTTTCTTAGAGTTTAAAAAAAATTTTTTTTGCTCTTGTGGTGTTTCAAACAATAAAGATATTTATATTGTTTATAGATATTTATACTATTGACCTATTAGCCACTTATGTGACCTATTATGATTAGATACTAGATTTAGTGATCAGTGATTTAGCACTCCACTAACCCAGTTTCAGCATTTATGAATATGTCATATACACACTTATAAAGTCAGCTGTCCATATATTAACTACATGGTATTTGTGATTAACTACATTTACATATAAATTTTGATACATAATAGAAATGAATTTTTTTTCCTTTGTCCAAAGATTTACTGAGAGTGGAACTTGAACTATCTATTAGGACCTGGGCTTTGGATGACTTGCAAAGAATTTAGTAGGAAGATGATTGTTAACTAGTTGACATCACTCACAAATTGTTATGGATACTATGGAAATAATACATGCTCTACCCTTCCCCCAACATTTTGAAGGCTGGAGGTTTGGCTCAAATGGTAGAGCATCTGCCTGGCAAGACACTCAAACCCTGGTACCACATATACATATATATATTGAAGGCAATCTAAAAGTAAGTGAATGTGAGTTGTGGCTATATAAATTTTATTTGAATTGGTAACACCTTCATATCTGGCAGAACTTCACTGATAGACTGGTTTTCTCAGATATTCAAAACACTGTAAAACAGAGCTGTATATTGTGTGCGTGAGTAGACTATACTTCTTAAAGTTAGCTCAGTATTTTGATAATAAAACCCCAAAACATCTTTTCATTATAAATCACAAATAATATTTAGAATATACCATCTAAAAGAAAATACCAGATTTTCCAGTAAAACTCAAATAGTATAATAGCATTTTATGGTTAATTTCTCAGATAGCTTGTGGAGAAGGCAGTACTGAAACTGCCTTAGGTAATAAGGAAACTTAGAGATCATCTGACAATTTTGTTTCTTTAAATTGGCAATGAATACAGAGATCAAACATTTGCGCCAGGGCTTTGAATTGTTGCATGTGTTTATATAAGAGCAGGAAAAAGAATAACAAGTAACCAGAATAATAGAAGTAGCCAGAAAACATAGAAAGAATAAAAGAAAATAGTATAATCTGACAAAGCCAAAGCAACCTTATGAATTTGGAAGAAAGGTGGGATTAGGACTGGATTCATTAATATAGGCTATTGATTTTTTAATAAATAGCTCTGGTGGGTGAATGCATGATAATACAATGGTACTTTTTACCTGTATCTGATTATCTTTTTAGTAAACTAAAACACAAATCCTAAATATGCATATCTAAATATATTTTCAACTCACCTAAAAAAAAAATTAGTTCCCATCCTTGGTAGTATTAGTGAACAGTAAAATGCTAGTTAGCACTATCGTAAGCTAATGTCATTCCATATCCCAAGCAAAGGAACAGAATAGGTGGAAACCTGAAATATGAAATTGAAGATTCATTTTTATGAACTTAATACTCATTCTCAGTAATAGACTGAAATCTATTTGAAAGGATTGGATGAATTCTGAAGAAGAGACTTGTGTGGGTGTTTTGTTTGTTTGTTTGTTTTGTTTTGTTTTGTTTTTGGCAGGGAGTGAGTATTGGCTTTCCTATCAGGAGAAAGAAAAAAAAGGCATTTTTTTCCTTTCACTTAATCTTTTGTGAACAGTCACTGAATACAGTTATTTTAAAATAATTCTAGGTTTATTTATCCAATGTGATTATTATTTGTTATACTTAGATACTTTCTTTTAGTAATATTTATAATTCCCAACAAAAAAATAACTAAATTGTCTTAAAATTTCTTTACAGATGATGAAGGCAGTCAGGATGAATCCTTAGACTCCAAGGTATGTACTAAAATTTGCACTGGCCAATATTTGCTGACCAATATAAAAGCAGAAAATTATGTACCTTAGAAAGGCTATAAAGATCTGCATCTTTTGAGTAACAGAGTTGAATTGAAAAGAAAAGGATAAGTAATATCAATATTTAGTTCTAGCTCTGTGGCATAAAAAAAAAATCACTGACCTACATGAGAAAATAGCAAATAATTCCCTTAAGATGTTGGTTCTTAAGTTTAATTCCAGCTTGAAAGTGTGCCCCTTTCTTCTCTCTCTCTCTGTTTCTCTGTCATCTCTTGTCTCAAAAAGCCTTAAGACAGTAACATTTTTTATGGCCTAAGACAGGTTGACTTTACTTCAGATTTTTAGTTCTTTTTAATTTTGAAGACTTAACCTCTACCGTTGGTTTCCTCTTATATATATGTATTTTAAAATCTAAGGAGTTAATGAATATGGCTGATTCTTATATATCCAAGGAGACCAATTTGTTATGGGTGAGTTCTGGTCTCTAGATTAGAGGGAATATAGATAAAAACAGAAAGTTATAATACAGAATTTCATGAGGAAACTATAAGGTAAGATGGTAGAACCTAACTCAGACTTTGGGGATTAAAGAAGGCTTCCTGGGGAACATAAAATCTAAATTGAAATTCAAAGAAAGAGTAAGAATTAGGAAGGTGATTAAGATGTATGAGAACAAGCCAAAGTCTATAGAGATGAGCAAGTATGGCAGTTCAAGGATTAAAGAAAACGTCATGGATTAGTGAAATTAATGGTCAAATTGGGTTGGAAGGAGTCTTGGTACTGTTAATGACTAAAAATACTTAATATTTTCAGAGTTTGCCATCAGATGAGACTGTAAAGGACCGTGCCTCCACAGGCAGAGTAGTCGCTGGTCAGATATTTCTTGATTCAGAAGAGTTAGAATTAGAGTCCTCCATTCAAGAAGGGGAAGACAGCCTCAAGAGCCAAGAGGGAGAAAGTGTCACTGAAGAAATTAGCTTTCTAGAATCTACAAATCCAGACAAGGACTATGAAGAACCAAAGAAAGTACGGAAACCAGGTAGTCTCCACATTTTCTTTGTTTTGCCTGATTTAGGAAAGAGGCAACTGAAATTTTAAAACTGTGAGTACAGAAAGATGCTGATGAAGGCTGATCTTACTGATTATCAACTACGTACAATATATAGAGTATAGTCTTACAGATTTTAGTACATCAGAATTACTTATAAGATTTGACCCATGTTACATGAACTAAATTCAATAGATAAAACTGCATGTTTTATCATAACATTTCTTTTTGGATACCAGCATCTCTTTTTCTCAGACAGAAATTTTTTTAATTAATTTGTCAGGGTAGTACACAAAATAAAAACACAAAAAGAATTATTTAACATGCAACTTTAGTTGTTATCAGAATTTTGATAAGATTTTTACAATAACTTTTCCATTCATTCTAGGTAATTTGATTTAGGTATTATCCTTCTCCAGTGGGAACTTATGCAAACATGTAAACTTTAATCCTCTTAGAACTTTCACCTGCTTGATACTTCTTTTAAATTTAAAATTTGATTATTCTCACTAGAGAGTGTGCTAAATGTCCTTTTAAAAATTAATTATTAACGTGCCCACTCTGCCCTATCCTGCCACCATTCTGTCATTTAGTTTATAATTTCAAAGATCACTACAGTAGCCACTTGCTATTTCATAATTAACCACTCTCAGGAATCGATCTAAATTTGAAGTTTTAAAAAGTCAGGTTCATTTTTTTCTATAAATTGCCATACTCATGAATAGAAAAACCATTTTTTTAAAAAAGTAAAAGTACTTTAATCCCATTAACTAGAACAGCTATTAACATGGAGAACACTCTTATAGGCTTTTTTCGAGGTGTATAAATAGTTTTAAGAAAACTAAATTGGGTCCAGATGTATATGATATGTTACAGCCTGCATTTTGCACTTAAAAGTTTACTGCAAATGTTTTCCCATGTTACTTATAATTTGCTAGCTAATCTCTATAAATTATTTTGTATATTCATCATAACTTAGAAATAAGTCACTTACAACCTTTTGCTGGGAGACCATTTTAAATGTATCTCTGCTCATCTATACAAATTGCCTAGAATTCTTAAAAGTAAATTTTTTGAGGGGTCATAAATTATAAAAAAAAATTTGGTACATTTTGTTAAATTGTTTTTCAGAAAAGTAATTCTTTTAACTTCCTTTGAAGCTCTTAAACTTTTTTCTTTTCCTAAAATATTTTAAAACAAATTCCACATGTTCTTTTACTTATCTGCCTATCTCTAAAAAAGAATATTTTTTCAATAAAATTAGCTTATATTCTTTTATCACCCATACCCAAACTTCATTTTTCCTACTTGTTTCAGATGTGTTTTTATAATTGATTTGTTTGAATCCATATCCAAGCTAAGAGCTTAGGTTTCTGAATCTGTAACAGTTCTCTTGCCTCTGTTTTTTAAGTGTCATTTTATTTATTAAAGAAATAATAATGTGCTATTTAGTTTCCCACATTTTAGATTTAGCCAGTTGTTGCCTTGTAATGTTATTTAGTTCTACTATTGGCTGTAAACTAGAAGTTAGCTCTAGAGGATTGGGTAGACTGTGAATATGTCATGAGTGGTGTTTTACACTTCTTAACATATTTTGTACTTCTTAATAGATTGGGAGGCATGTAGTATCTGATTGTCCCACCTTTCATAGTTAATCTCTGATTAATTAGCATTAATCAGTGAGATTAGCTGGTGCCAGCCTAAACCAGCCATTCCAGAGCTCCTCACTGATCTTTTGCCTAGAGGTTATGTTTATAAACTATGTTTGTTTTCTGGATCCTCTAATCCCACTTGGGTTTGCAGAGTGGTGACTTTCTGACTCTACTATTCCTCCTGTATTTGCTACTGAAATTCTTTTATAAAAAACTTTACCTCATTAAGTATTTTGGGAAAGCAGGATAAATTCTGGATTCCCTTGGAATGTTTTCAGATAGTAATTTTGTATCCTAGCAACCTCCAAAGGAGACCAATGAGTATGGGATTTTTTGCTTGTTTGCTTGCTCATTTGTTTGTTTGCTTATTTGCTTGCTTTGTTTTCAAGCATTGTTAAAGATATAGAGGGGAAAAAAATCAAAACATGTTTTTGCAACACTCACTCAGTAAACAGTATTTCCTCACATACAAAGCAAGCAATTCTTAAGTGAATCCTTCAGGAGTTATCATGTTGGTGTCCTCTGATGCGTCCAGCACTATCTACCTGAAGATAGCATTAGATAGCATAACTTGTAGGCTCAGGCCCACCAGATTGACCTTGCCCCATTGCACATGCCATTTGCAAGCCTCAAGTTGAGCCTGTATTTCTGACCCACAGACTATATAAGTTGGATTCACATGACTTCCTCCTTGGGTTCAGTTAATTTGCTAGAGCAACTCACAGAACTCATGGAAAGATTTATATTTACCTGCTTATTATAAAGAATATTAAAAAGGATAGATATATAGATGAACTGCCAGATAGAAGAGATGCACAGATTGAGTTATAGGAGAATGAACATAGAGTTTATGTATAATGAACAACCTAGACAGACCAAGTCCATCCTACTAAAGCATTCCTGAAGTAAGGGCTGTTCCAGTAGTAAATACATTTTATGTGCTTGCTAGAGGTCTGTCATTAGCATGTCTCTAAGATAATTTGATCAAGTCACCCCTTTCTGTTTCTTAGATCAGTAAAAAGGAGAGAAAAGATTGATTTTTTATGACTCTTTGTCCTCGGTGTATATTTTATTAGGGATTTGAAAAAGTGTTTTAAATAATTTTCTGTGTGGTTATGCCAATAACTGTATAAACATTTAGATTCATTGCTTCAGTTTGTTTTAATTTTCAATAATGATTTAGATTCATTTTTAATTTATTATTAATATATGAAAGGGCTTATGTGCTTACACATATTTAACATATAGTATAAATTGCATATGCACAGCTTTGTGTGTTCCATTCCAACTACATTAGAATTGGGTTATATGACAGTTGCTTATAAATTGCTCCTTTTGTCAGCTTCTCATTCATGTTGCTTCCATGTTACTCTTCCTAAAACCAAATTTGATCGATTACTCCCTTATTTAAACCATTACTTCCCCCATTTGCCTTAAGAGATGAAGTGTATAGTCCTTAGCATGACTGACAGAGCTTTTGGTGTCCAGCAAGCCAGCTGGCTTCTATAACCTCATCTCCTATGGCTCTCCCCCAAACATCCTTTCTCAGCAAGTTCTTCAAGTTTACCATGCAGTTTATGCTCCACTACTTAAAATGCCTTCCTCACCCCCTTAAACATAGATCCTTGTATCAAAGGTAAATGTTCATTTGTCCTTTCTGCAGCAGTTCCTAAACTACCCAAGCATAATTAAAGAACTTCCTATTTGTAAGAGCTTGCTATCTGACCTCCTGCTTTTCACTCTTTGACAACAGCTGGACTGATCCTGCTTTCTGCTCAGAAGCCTCCCATAGCTTCCTGTCATCCAGACTTCTTACCTTTACTAATGAGGCCTTACATAATCAGGTCCTTCCTCTCCCTCTGCAATTTCATCTTCTGTCACTTCTCTTCACTCACATGACTCCAGCCACACTTCTTACTATTTCTTGAACATTTCATACTTATTCCTAACTGTGTTAGGGCTCCCCAAGACCCAATCCCACATTCAGTGGTTCACTAGCAAGTCTCAAAGGACTCAGTTGTATTCACAGCTATGGTTTAGTTAAAAAAAAAAAGAAGAAGAAGAAGAAGAAAAATCAGCAAAGGAAAAGGAGTATGGGATGAAGTCTGGGGGAACCAGAGACAAGCTTCAAAAGGGTCATCTCTTAGGATGATATGCTTAACTTCCCCAGCAACAAATTTAGAATAACACATGTCAAACGTAACAGGAAAGCTCATTAGAAGCCCTGAAGTTTTTATTGGAGGCTGGTCAAATTGACACCCTTTTCCTGGCACATACCGAGTTGCAGACTCCCAGAAGGAAAGCAGGTGTTTGGCATACACCATATTGTTTGTACAGTTTGAGTGAGCATTTCTATTGGTTGGGATGGTGGGAACTAACCAGAAGTCCAATTTCACAGATGCCAGCAAACAGCAACCCTTGTCAGCAGGACATTTCACAGAATTTAGGCCTGCTATGTTAATTCTTCTCTGCACAGTTTACCCCTCAGTTATAGCAAAGTTCTTATCAATAAGACCAGAGAGAGTGAAGCCAAACTGTTGTATTGATTTCACTTTTGCCATTTAGGAGTCTTATACTTAGCCAGTTCAAACAAATCCTGTTAATCATAGTAGCTCTATCTTAGAAAGCCAGGTGGCTTCCTCCTTAAGGTTTTGTATTACCGTTTTTACTGGGCCCAGTCCATCAATTCAGGCACAGCATGACTGTATCCAGTAAATTGAAGCTGACCTGAAAACTGAGATTCCAGCTCAGAGGGTACACACTGTAACCCTGAAAAGAAAGAGTTTACAATTACTGGGGCACCTCAAGCAGGACCTACATTAGGCAATACAATGTTGTGTCCCTCCATGGGCAGATTTTCCTAGACTTCCTGGTCTACTCTAAACAATTTAGTCCACTCTTTGGTTTCAGAGAGACTGGAAGTAGATTCCAAATACTTTTGCTGTTCATGATTCAGTCCAGCTATCTCATGAACAGCATCTGTAGGTTTTCTGTGTGGAAAACTTCCTGCTGTTTCATATTAGGTGTGATCATAGGCTTAGCAGTATGAATTCAGTTTCTTGTCAACAGTTTGGAAAGGTACACAGAAATTTTCCTTTAGGAAGCAGTAGAAGCTTCCAGAAACAGTTTTGAACAATGAAGACCATTAATGCCCTCTCTGTTCCCTCTTGCCTCCCCGAAGGAGTTTGCCGGAGGTTCAGTCTGTTTTCCTCAGTTGTTAGAAAAGTCAGTGTTTCCATTCAGAAATCATAATTTTACATTTTTTCAACAATTCTCTAATCTCATCCATGTCTTTTGTCTGAAGGAGTTACATGCAAGAGAGGCACAGTCTTCACAGAAAAAGCATTCTTATACAACTTGGACAGAAAGATATGTCCAGAAATTGATCAAAATAAAATCTTGAATTTTCAAAAACTTTAAAAATGGCCTAACATATCATCTCACCCCTTTTATCCTGATTGTTTATTAGTTAGCAACCTAGAAAAGAGCAGGCCCTTTCTGAGAATAGCTACACCTTAATAATCACATTTCACTGAGACATGTGGAGCAAGAGAAGGGTGAAGGAGTCAGGTTATTAGCCCATTGTTGCAAACTGCAGCTAATCAGAAAAGCAAACACAAG